TGACATTTTCAATAAAAAGTAATTTCCATTAATATAGTTGAGCAAGAAGCATAAAAAATCAATTTAAATTGTCCTGCTGAAATTCAATACAGAGTCGTGAAGTACAAGGCAAAGTGCCATATTTGTCTTAAAGGAAACCCGTACTGAGATAAATAAATATGTAGGCTACCACTGCAGACCTTTCCTTCTGAAAATGCAGGTTGCCTGTCTCTCATGCTACTCTGGTATTCTGAGTCATTGACCCAAAGCTAGGAAGATGGGAGTTCCGACTTCACTCTGACTCTGCTTGCTGCTTTGACCTGAGTCAGAGACTCTAACAGGCTAAAGGCCAGAGACAGCAGGTAGCCAGCATTTTTAAAAAGAAACCAGCAAAAGCAGTCTTCATAGTTCTCACAGAACAGATTTCCTTTAAATCCTCCCATTGGATTCACTCACTCAACTTGCAAAAAAGGAGGGCTGAAAAGGAAATGTGTAAATCAGCCTGCGCATTTTTCTTTAATAGGCCTGGGAGAACAGGGTTATTTTTATCTGAGGATGCTTTTAATTTGATTCGAATATGCTTTACCACATGTTCTGCCAGAAGATCAAAAGGACTGGTAACAAACATTTAATCTTTTTATTCTAGGATTGGCACTAAACCCTCATCAAAAAAGTGCATGCAGTCAAACAGCTTATCTCCAGTGAACTGTTTCCCCTAATGTGTTCTTAATTATAATCCTACATATTACTCAGTGTGGCCCATTGAACAATATGGCAGTCGTGTCTGTGCAGTCCTTACTATTATTTGAACTGTGAGCACACAGGGCTAAAATGGAAACCAGATCAACAGGATCTGACTGCTGGCAAATCAAACTAGATACAATCTCTGGATAATGCATTTTCAGCTGTCCTCCAGGAACACACTTCAGCAGACAGCTGGTGGCTGGGAAAACAGGAACACATTTTACCAGAATGGCTGATGAAAATTTCATTTTCCATGTAATCCAATTAATACATGGAAATCTCTTTCTATATTTAGCCATGGCCAGTGCAGGTAACAGGTTTAAGACACACAACAGGAAATGATCATCCAGGATAACCACCTGCATATAGAGTTTATTTCCTAAATAAAATGCATTATATGGAAATATGAAAAAGATACGCTGGTTATGGATTTTGTTTCTGACCCAGATGAGTTGTAGATAAAAGCAGTCACTGATGCAGAAAATAAAATAGCAACTGGCCAAACACAGAAAAACACAATCCTTTGAAAGCGGGCTTCTGAATACTAAACATAATGATGTTCAACCTTCTTAAAATGAAGTCATCTGTGTCAGTGTGTCGATTTTCTGGGGCCTCCAGTTTGCCAAGTTTGTGAGATATCCAAGATTATGTTGCTCACATCATTATCTGTTGCATCATTTTTTTCTGTATTGCCATTGACCTGGTCATGTCTGTTAACAGATTTGGAATCCTAAATGGTTGAAGCTATGAAATCCTACAAGCTACATATGGCTCACCAAAACAACAAGAAAGTTCACATTGGCCCACAGACATTCAACATTGCTCACATATATGTTTTTACACCTTGCATTTAGCAGTTTGCTTTGAGGTCAGATTTAAAGCTGAAATCTAGGTATGGTATTTACTGCATAGTTACAGTACATTGGTCCAGTTTGTATATAATCCAGCTTGCGAGTATGCATATTTCATACCTGAGGGTCCACTGTGATAGGTGACAATCTCTATAGTAGCTGCTGCTGCTACTACAGTGATCTCCTGTGCTGAATGGTTTTCTTCTGCATAGAAACTACAGGAGATCTCTCACTCAGCACAGCTGCCATTCACAAAATGCCTTGTATTTTTTTTATGAATACACAATATTCTCTGATTGGACAAGGTAGGACAGTGACATCACAATCTCAGCTTTAAAGTTTTAAGCCCATTTTAAAGCAGAACAATGGGATAGGCAAAAAAAATCACCCATTAGTACATCTCCCTACACAAAACACTAACCAGTTAGTACAATTTTGAAAATCCTTAGCATTTAGGAGACAACTCTAATTGAATTTTCATGACCTCATCTCTGTAATTCAAAAGATAACAGCATCTGCTCTGCCAAGGAGGAGGTATAACAGCAGGGATTACATCATTTCCTCTCCTCTCTCTCTACAGTAAAAGGAAACTACAGTTCCCATCAACTACAGCGAACTGTAGTGAATGTGGGTGGGTACACTAGGCCTGTACATGTTGAATGTGTTTGAAAGTCTTACGCCACAACCACAGAGTTACGTCACTGCTTCCTGGAGAAAGAACTACAGAAGGGATGTGCCAAGACCAGTGGCTGGGGGAATAGGATGCATAGCAACCACTGGTTTACAAACAGGAAACCAAAGAGAATTAACGGTTTGATTTGAAAATGAATAGGCTATTTCAGAGCAACTACTGAGTGAACCAGAAGATGGATGATATATTCAGTGAAGGTAGGAAATCAGCAACAAGGACGCGTAAATACGTTTTTTTTTAACCACTTCAGCTATCAGTAATTGTTACCATTTATGGATCTCAAACATTTTCAAAATTTGGCAATGGAGCTATTGATTCACCACCAATAATGTCACAACTTTTGAAAGCAAAGTTATACTTATATTATTTGTTCTCCCTTTTTTTTGCTGTTGTTGTTTGATTTCTTCCATGTACGGCTTTGCTAAAGTTACTATCAGATCACAAAACAAGACAGATGTGCAGTAAAAAAGGCAATATTGTAATTTAACAATAAATGTGGCTATGTTAATTCACCGAAACAAAGTGAATCACTGAACCAAACTGACAGCTTACAGATTGGGACTTTGGTTGTCAAAGTGACAACAAATCCCTTGTGCAGTATAATGCTCACAGAGAAATTATTCTAAGACATTCTAAATATGCCTTAGAGACTGAATTCCTCTAGGACACTGATACAGTATAAAGTGTTTAATATTATTTATATTCTTTTTTTTTTTTTTTTTTGTCAGTTTCCAGTTCTCTATATGGGACAGAGACATTTTATGCTATCCGGAAATCCATATTTGGATTAACAATTTTAACACATAATTTATTATTTCAAAGAAAATATACCACAATTTGACATATGCACATTCATCTCAACCCTGTCAATCATCATCTGGTGTTGATGGATAAGAGCTATTTCCTATCGCTGGTGTCCAATACCATCTGCAGAGCTTACGTAAATGTTAATTTCATGTATTCCACTTTTATTTCCATCAAAATCTTCCATCATATTTGGTACAAGTTGGAATATGAGATATAATTTTCTAGCCTATTATTTAGAAGAAATGTGATTTTGGACAATGTATATAACAATTTAGGGGGGATCCCTACAAGCATTTTCAGTGAAAACTAATTTTGAGTTTGTATGGTAAAGTTTAAGTAACTGATATGATTTTCTTGTGTATATGCATATGTTTTCATGATAGAGTTTCCGTTTAGTGGCTGTCCCTATGCAGGCATCATCCTTTCTAAATATGCTGTGTGATACATGCAAGCTCAAGAGTAAATTCTTCATATTGAAAACCTATTCACATTACACAACCCATAGGCTTTTTATGAGATAAGAAGAGCCATCCTATGATTCTAAACATGTAGAGTTTTTGTTAAGTGTAGTAACTAATAACAACTAATCAAAACTAGTGTCAGTCCTTTACAAGTCTGTAAGAGCTCGCTGTTCACATGTCATGACTGAGGCGTACATTTAGAACCAACTGGCTGCTCATTAAAAAAATCTAAATATCTCAATATCAAAATAACAATAGTCCCTATGGCTCTAACAGCACAAAAAAGTGCAAAAGCTTAAAACAGTAGGACCTGTATGATCCCTATTTATTTTCATCCTGACATATCTAAGCACATCTAAGCAGGGGACAAAATATCTCAAACACATGCTTTCCTCTATTTACTATAAGTTGTGCTGCCAGTCAACATGGGGAGGTGGAAAGGGTGGCCACAGGTGGAATATAATAGGCTATTAGGCACTGGATTGCATATTAGTAGTTCTTTTGTTTAAAGGAAAGAAGATAGTATTACCTGTTTATATTTTAAGATTTTAACTTATCCTAATATTAAAACTTTAAGATTTGATGTCTTCTTTAAGCCTAGAAGACTTGAAGAATGTTCCTTGATTGAACAGAATATTGTGTGATTCTTTGCTCTTTTAACAGAATACAGATGACTTTTTTTTGCATTTTGATATTATAATTTATTTAATATATTCATGCATGTATTCCATTCATATTACAATAGTAAGCAGCCTTAGCCCTTTTATTTATCATGACTTGAGAGATTCAAGAACTGATCTGTTAGCCAAGCCGTATCTGTTCATAGAGTAATCTCATTATCGGATGCTGACTAGTCTTTGTGTGGTATCTGTCATGTTGTGCTAATTTATTTATGTAGCTGCTGGAATATATGTGTCCAATTTCCTTTGGTGTTTGTATGTGACTGTTTTTCTTCCTAATAAACAGATGCAGCCAGCTAGAGCATTTCTGTCACTTTTATTCCTGCAAGTGTGAAAAGTTAATTGGTCTTGTGCAAAAACAAGAACAACTGGCAGAGTGTTTAGGAGGCTATCATTCCCATTGAGTATGGAAAACAGATTATGAGACACATTAAGTTTTCAAAACAAATAAACACTTACGGATTCAGAGGTTAGTTCATTTCTATCCAAAACACTCAATAACTTTTTTGTAAATATGTCTTTTTTGTTTAAATTGTAAGTATAAATTGGTATTGCGCTTACTTTTGCATAACTGTGTGTAGTACAGTTTTGTGCAAAACATTTTTATTTAAAGTGTTACTAAACCCAGGACCCTGCATTCACTCTATCTGGTCTCCCACAGTACACAGAACATGAAAATGCAATTATTTTAGTAAATACAAACTGCTAAATACCTTTTCTTCTGTAGGAGGATGCAGGACCCCTGACCTCTGTCTGGAGAGTGCTGATTGGCCCTGTGCTGATCACATGCACTCTCCCAAGAAAGAAAAAACTCTCTAGCAATATACACCAAACTGAGCATGTGCCTCTGTTCTATCAGGAGATATTTAGGAGACACTGGAAGAAGGGGAGAATCAGAGAAGACAGGATAAAACATCATTTTTACACCTTAAGTGGAGGATTAACCCTTAGGTTCCACTATGAGTATAACAAGCATGCTTTACTACATATACAGACTGATTTTACTGTTCTGGATTTGGTAACACTTTAATTTAGATAGAGTTCAAATATAAAGGTTTAATTATTACCACAAAAATAGGTCGAAGAATGTATTTAAAAAACTTTTGTTACAGTACTTTCCATTTGATTAGAAATTGTAGTTTAAGGTAAACCTGCTATCACTTTAATAGTAGGTAATTAGCAGCGTATATAGAATTCAGGCAGCTAGAGTATAGTCACACAGTTTGGGAGCACATTATTTAATACATGTAAATATTGTGGACCTTCCCTTCCTACTTCAGTTTTCTCACTGCTGGTTAGGATGTAGCTACCCATTGCAGTATAAACTAGTAGTGAAAAGTTGGAGGCCACAAGAGGTCAGTCAGATGTCTGACTTAAAGAGGATCTTCATCCTCTAAACATACATTTAAAAGTCAGCAGTTGCAAGTACTGTAGCTAATGACTTTTAAAAAACACATACATACCTGTCCCAGGATACAGCGATGTCCTCACCCAACCTGGCTCTTTGCCCGTCTTTGGGTTCAGACACCGGCATCTTAACTGTGAGCAGCCAACTGTGAGTCCTTGCGGCTCCACAGCCGACTGCTCACTGCTCATGCATGAGCCACGTTGCATACCGGGAATGGTCCAGCAGTCTTCTGAGGCCTGTGATATGCCCAAAGAGGGTGGCCAAACTGTCAAAATCAGTTAGCCACTCCCCCCACCCCAAAAAACCATTCCAAATATGGGGGGGGGGAGAAAAAAGAGGAACTTCCCTTTTTGGATTATTTAAGTAGCTGTAGTCAGTACTTATACAACAGAACATAGAGCTCAAGCTCCCAGGTAGTGCAAAGTCACCTGGGAAAATTACAGACTGAAAAGAGGAGTTTACAGAGTGGGAACTGGCTGCCTGGTTCACAAGAGGGATCACATAAATGTAATCATTGTAAAAAGTGTGAATACATGCCTACTGTGAAGGATTCTGAGAATCCCAAAAGTAAAGAGAGGATAGAAATGAAGACTGTCCTGGACTGCAGCTCCTCTGGACTCGTCTATGTGGCTAAATGCCCATGAAATCTTTTATATGTGGGAAAGACCAGGGGCGGACTGACAACTCATGGGGCCCCCGGGCAATAGGGGATCATGGGGCCCCTGTGTCCTTGCCCAAACTCAAAAAAGCCTATGAAAAAGGTACCAGGGGCATCTCATGGGGCCCCCTACTGACCCCGGGCCCTCGGGCAGTGCCCGAGTTTTCAAATGGTCAGTCCGCCCCTGGGAAAGACTATAGGATTATTGAGGAGAAGAATTCTAGAACATATTGGGGATATTACCCTATAAAAAACAAGCCTACCCCACATCATATGTGGGAAAACCATGGGGGAAAATTGGATGACCTGCAGTTTTGGGGGTTAGAAAATGTAAAACTAGAACTTCTAAAATGTTATTTAAATGAGAGACTGCTGAAAAAAGAAAGCAGAGTGGATTTTCAATGGAATGGACTAAATGAAGGCTTTACATTTACTCTGTTTATATAAAATACTCTGAACTACTGGTTCTGTTTGAGAGCTTCCCTATCTATCAGAGATCAAAACAAGTGTACAAATTTATATAGAAATTAACTGAAAGAGAGGTAGAGTGGTTGTAGATAGTGGCCACCAGAGCATTATATGAGTTTCCTATGGACTATACTGATGTCAATCACGTAAAAACATGATGATGTCACAACACAGAGCACAGTGATGTCAGGCATGTAACATAATGATGTCAGATGTAAATATGCTTCAAGACGCAATTGCATGATGATGCAATGATGCAAATATACATTCCTAGCCAATAAGTGAGAGGGGGAACCTATAAATGGCTGTTTGGCATATGATGGAAGCTTTTACACCAGCCGCTTTTAAAGTGGCTGGTGCTGTGTCTTATCACTAGTGAGTGAAAGCACTATAATACTTACCTGTCAGTTTGTTGCAGATTGGGTTGACCTGACTTCTCTCTTGCTTGCCTCACACCAAGAACCCTGTATTGACCTGAATATTCTCTTGTCTGCTACCTGCCATGACCTCTGCTTGGACCTGATTACTCTCTTGCCAGCTTCTTGCCACAATCTCTGCCTGGACCTGACTACCCTCTTGTCTGTGGCCTGCCATGACTTCTGCCTGGACTTGAATACTCTTTTGTCTATGGTTTTGTGAACAGTCTCCCTGAACCATAGTCCTTCTGTTCCAGTAATCCCTTGGTGGTATGATCCTAGGGTAGGTAGGATCCTAGGGTCTAGGGTACAAGAAAAAGTACTTAACTTGCATAAGCTGGTCATAGATAGATTGAAAATCCACCGGTTCAGCAGGGACCGGCAAAATTTGTATCAAAATCAGTGGCTTCTCTCGTAAAGGAATGTTTAAAATGTTTAATTCGATCAATGCAGGCAGCCAATCAGCTGCAGTGCTGATCAGTGCATTCTGACAGTTAAGAAGTCTTGCTGTCAGAATGCAATAGCATAGCAGGGGGGATTCCTCCATCCACCTTACTTGTGTAGATGGGGGAATCCATTCAATCCATTCACTGGATGATAAAAAAAAAAAAAAGATCCATCTATGGGCAGCTTTATTTCTCACTGCCCAGCAGCTGACCCTTATTTCTTCCTTCTGACTCTCTGACTTGTGGGTGGGCCCTTCGAGCCCTTCAACAGAATCAGTGCATAGACAGCAGAGCATTCTAATAACACAGGATATTGACATGTTTCATTAAATTTAATTTCTCAAAAATAAGAGAATTATTCTTCATTTTAGGACTGTATCCTTATCCATAACATTTTTTTTCTTCAGCACTGCTTGCTGAAATGGACAAATAAGTAATTCAGCAGTGGTTTACCCACATGGAGTTTCCACCCATCTACATTGCACACATTTGTTTTGGTTCGAAATGGTGGAGAAACGTATAACTTCCCCAAAGTCTGGGGAAAATGCCAGCAAATTTAAGTAAATCTATACCAGTGCATATAGTAAATATGTCACTGAAAGTAGGTATGCCTTCGGTGACATGATCTCAGGATTCAACACCATCACAGAACAGGATTGGCTGAATTTTTTCAGTACAAAGAAATAGAATGTATTTGTTCAATACAGAATGATTTTAATATACGTTAATGGTTAAGTTAATGTTCTAAACGTGCACAAAATGTAATGACTATACTATTCAACATAACAATATATATTTTCATTAAAACTGGAAATAAGAGGAAGAGAGATGAGCCATATCATGCTTTTAAAACATTCTCCACCATAGATGTGTAAATGTAGCCTAAGGGAGTAATAAAGTTCATTTTGAAGTATTCATACACTTGGCCTCACCACAGTGCATAGAGTACACATAGAATGAGCATAAAAGGACAAACTACAAAAGGTACAGTATCCTGCCAAACAGTGTAAAAGCAGTGGTGTCTGTCTCTGAAGCTGATCGTTTTGACACCCTGTGTTCTGTAAAGTCATCCCCTCCTTATATTTTTCATCATATGCGCAGCTTCAATTTCTCAGGTTTGTGACAGGTTTATTTTAAGTTTAAAAGAGTCAAATAAATGTAAAAATAGCTTGTAATTTTATATACACACAAAATGGACTATATTAAAGTGAATAAATAGGGTCATATGTATAAAGCAGTGAATATGTCATTCACCAAACATTCACAGGTTATTCTCTGTAAAGATAAGATTTACCTGCAGTGACTATTTCTTAATGGTCACATTCACTAATTTATAAAAATATGCCCCTAGTGCTATATATTAAAAAACTCATGTTGTATACAAACTTAAGCTAAACAATTTAATGAGTATGAGATGTTACCTGTAAACCCCCACCCCATTCAAACCGCACCCCACCCACACCCCACCTGCTTTGCTCAGTCAGGGGCATAAAATGTTTCAAACAGAGAGAGAGTCTGAAGAAAAATAGCTTCTGCAGTGTGTTTTTCTTGCAAGCTTTAAAGTAGACTTGAACTCAAAAAGTGAACATTTGTTCTATTATAGGAAAAATCTAGAAATATTAGCATTCCAAAAAATGAATTTTTGCCATTATTTTTTTATGAAAAGTAACAATGCATTTCCTTTGCCGAAGCACTTCTGTATTTTGCACCTCATAGCTGTAGATCTGCACTGTGAGATCTAAGGCACAGCGTCTGTGACTGCTAGTCTCAGGAGCTTTGGAGTGGGATTTGGTGAGGTCACTATTGTGCTACTCACTGCCCTACTTGCTGGAGAGAAATCTGGACCTGGAGACCTTTAGACAAGCATCTCACTGTTTCCGCTTCATTGATTTTGTATATCTGTGATTTCTTTGCCTACCCGGAAGTGTTGACCTATAGAGAAGCATCTCACTGTTTCTGCTTCATTGATTTTGTATATCTGTGCTTTCTTTGCCTACCCTGAAGTGTCAAAAAGGTGGTTGCTTCGACATGAGGAAGCAAAACCCTGCTCAGGTACAAAGAAATCTGCCTTCACACAGAGGGAAGGTGAGGACAAGGTATAGTAAGTCTGTAATAAGAAAAAAAAACATTAGAAAGCCTATAGACAATACCGGTGACTAGATATTTGCCCTCAGCTTGCCTTTTTTGGGCACAGCTCCCACAGTTCAGGTCCTCTTCAAGATACACAGATGCCTCTTTGACAGCAACATACATAATGATATCTGTCAATCCTTGAACAATCCCATCTTTGCGAGGACCTGTGTAAATCAACTGAACCCATTGATTCTGTTCATGTATGATGATAGAGTATGTTTCTTTTCCTATAAAAAGATAATGATCTTCTATTGGTCTTTCCAAGGTGTTGAACGATCTATTCATAACTGAAAGCTCTTGGGGTCAATGCAGTGTCATACAAAACTGTTACTGGAAGAAGGAGAATAATAATAGGAAGAAATTGCCTGGTGAGTGAAGGCTAGCAGTCATTTAGCACAGTAGATCTGTATTCAGTAGAAAGGGAGAGCTTTAGTAGCCATAGAAACAAGAGAGTAAAAAAGTCACAGAAAATCTTTTTTTTAAGGGCATGCACAGCACAAAAAAGATTTTTAACACCCACCAGGAGTGGGTTTAAAAGCAGCAGAGTGTGTAAAAGCAGTAGTCCTGTATGATAATTTAAAGTGGTTGTGAAGGCTGAAAGTTTTTTACCTTCATGCTTTCTATGCATGAAGGTAAAAAACCTTTTGTGTGCAGCAACTCCCCCAGGCCCCTCAATACTTACCTGAGCCTCATCATGATCCAGTGATGTGAGTGACAGCCTCGGCTGTCCCACGTCTCTGCCTCCTCATTGGCTGAGATAGCAAGCAGAAGCCATTAACTGTTAATCACATTCAGTCAGCCAATGAGGAGAGAGAGGGAGCAGAATTGACACACGGAGCAGCAGGTGCCCCCATAGCAAGCTGCTTGCTGTGGGGACACCTGACAGACAGGAAGATCCAGGAGAGCCTGCAGGGGACTCAAGAAGAGGAGGATCTGGACTGCTCTGTGCAAAACCACTGCACACAATAGGTACGTATAAAGATGTTTGTTATTTTACAAAAAGAAAAAATTATCCTCTAGAATCACTTTAATTCACAAATAATAAATATTAAAACTATTTTATTACAAATAGCAGCAATTTATCAAAAATTGTATTTCATTCCATGAGTGGTTTTGTGTATGATCTAGGAAGGCTTAATGAGGCTGCTCGTCTGACCTACACTGTGTTCATGGGTATCAAGTATCTCTCCTTCACCTACAGTGAAACATTCGTACAGCCAATGTTGTACATTACTCTGAAGCTCTACTTATCACCACCTGGCGGAACTGCAATGATACTACTCCAAGGACTGGTGGAACAGACAGCACATTGAATGTTGCAAGGGAGGGTGAGATACAGATGACATATGCTTACTGATGGCAATACAGGTGTATATACTGCTTGCATTGTTATAGGATCCATCTTTATCGCACAAAGTTACCCTTTGCTTACTTGAGCCTTATACACTAATGACGATATGTGCTTATTGATGACGCTATAGGTTCACACACCATGCGTATGGCCATAGGATGATATTTAATCTCTACAGCACGAAGTTACCTTCTGTATACCTGAGCTCTATATCTGGACACTTTTGTTGACTATTTAATATTTACCACAATGATGTGAGTGCATTCCTCATCTAGATGACTT